CATTTCACAGGTATCTCCTCCCACTGGTATAACTCTCAATTTAACTTCTCCTCCTTTCCAACCAACCCCATCTTTCTAATCCTCCCCTCAATCTTCTATTCCCACCTTCTCACCACAGATAGCCCCAGTCATACTTGAATCCTAACTTCTTTATAGTCCACACACCTGGGACATTTCCAAAGGCTGCCACATACCCCTTTTCATTACAATCCACAACTTCTTCCTCATTTCTATTTTTGCCTCCTCTCTGGCCAACCCAATACCGTCACAACCACATCATGCAATCCACCAAGGAACACAGGTGGATTTGCTGTTATTACACTAACCATCAGCCTCTAAATTTTAAACATGATGCACTAAAGTTGACTTTAGTTTCACCTTCGCTTCCGGTCATTGATCTTACCTTACCTATGTGCTCACCCCCTGCCGCGTCAATCCTACCCTGAATAATTCATCAGCCTTCCACGAAGTGTAACATCATTCAGCATTTCCGCATGTGCACACCTGGTCACTGTTCAGGAACGACGTGCCCTGTGTAATTCAGAAAACCTGCCTCCTTCCTTCCCAAGAGTCATTACACCTAGTGTAATAAATGCAAAGGCACATCATCTAACAGGAGTGCGTGGGCTTTTCTTTTCCTGTTAGCATTTTTCAATTTAGAACTACACAACTGCTAACCTACATTTCCCATGTGAGTTTAACTTTATAGCTTTCCTTTTCTGTTGCTTTTTCCACGCTTGCTGCAGTTATCTCAAAACCAGCCCACGGAGTCTATGAGCACCTAGTATTTTCACAGACTTCTGAGCACTGCTACAACACCGCAACTGTACAACACCAAAGGCAGATGCCAAATGCCACATCACCAGGGATATTTTTTGGACTGAGAGAGGTCAGAATACCTAGCGGAGCACTACTCCTTTGTAAATGATATAAAATTGCATTGTAAGCTGAATGCTTTACAAGGCAAATATAAATCTTACCACCATTCATGTTTTTGAAAAATCACCCGATGTTACACAGCTCGTTAGGACAAGGTGGGCAATCCGCCAACAATTATTCAGCTGTCCCATAAGAGAGCCTAAGAGAAGCGACAAACTGACAACTCGGGCCTCATGCACCACTGGAGAACAGCACTTTTACTCCAGGTGGGCCCGCACTCCAGTTTACGTTCAAAGGACACCCTCAAAACTTGTTAAGCTCTTAACCACTATGAAAGAAGACATTCATTCAACAGGGAACACTATTTTCCTTCTAAAAGTATTCATAAAAATATTTACTTTCAGGGTCTTTTCCCCCTTACAATATTCAGGTAATATTTTAGCAGGACTGTCCTTGTAGGTTCTCACCTACAAGTGAATTAGGGCTTTATCGCTCCCATAAACTGATTTCAAACCACACTGGGTCACCCTACGAGTCCCTTCCCAGAGGATATAGTTTCAGAACTAGTTCCAGAAACTTGAACTGCTTCCTCTATCGGGGAAAAAACGAGTACTTCTGTAACAGACTGACCTTTCTTCAGATCTGTTGCTGTCTGAAGGATGTCAGTTCACTGTGAGAATTTGGGAGCTGGCGTGGCTCCAAAGGCTCCACATATTTTCAAAGGGACCTTGCCTGTAATTTTAACCCATTAAAACAAAAGTGCATGGCTGGAAAACGGTAGTACATATTTAAAAATCTCACTGTGATTCAAATACAGCTATGTTACTTGCACCAGTGATTTGGTGATGTCACTTGACACAGGCAAAAGATAGCAGGTTTTACTTTACGACCAGCCTTCATTCTTGCACATCACATGAAAGAGAACAATGGAAACGTGGCTGAATGTGAGAAAGCACCAAACTGCAATGGCTTTTTGGGTGGGGGTGGAGAGAAACACACATACTACAAAAATCTAATAATTCTCCACCCAAGCATTGCTAGTGAATGACCTCACTGGTTTCCTACATATACTCCAGCAGCCTTCCTGCCATCACTGTGTTGAGCCAAGCAATGATGTCAACAGTCCACCTGTGAGTGATGTAGCCCTCTGGGTCATGGTCGCAGAGAACTTGGATAAAAGCTGTGCCAGTGTTAATTAAATGCAACTCTTGTTTCACTGCTTATTTCCTCCGATAAGGCTCAGCTCATTTTTCCTGGAAAGTCTTCCATGCTATAAGGGAACCAGAGCCAACCATAACACAAAACAAATACTGCTTCGAGAATATGAAGACAATATGTTAAATATTTAGCTTAAAAAAAAAAATTGCCTATCAGTGATGGACTAAATACAAATCTCATTAATTTACATTAAGGTTAAACTACAAATGATAGTTACTGCAGATAGTTTATTATCTTTCAGCAGTACTTGTCTCTTCCATTTGTAATGCTGTTCCCTATTAAATTGGAGCAAAATTCTAACAACCTGCTTTCCCACTGATAAGTTCTGCCAGGTTAGAGTGAGAGGAACTTGTCCAGTAAAAAATATGCTTTGAGAATAGAGTTTGAATTTGATTAGCATCAGAATTATCACTACAACATTAACAAATGCGTTGTCAAATAGCATTTATTCTGCCATCAGAAAGGCCTTAGCTGTAGGAAGGCTCTAAGCAGGTTAGGTATTAAGGATCCTCTCAGGTATCCATTAATACAATTAGCCAGCAAGTAATGCAAGGAAAAAATATATACTGTTCCTTCTTTTTTTTCCTATATAAAGAAAACTAATCCACTGTCATGACTGGATGCTTTCACCGTATGCTGTTACCAGGATTTCTGTACTCACAGCATCTGACTTCCAGCCACTTCAGGACATGCCCTTTTATACTTGCTTTGTTCTTGTAGACATTTCTGGATAGCTTTATTATTAAGCGAACTGTCAAAGGGAGACTCAGTTTTGGAACCTGACATCAAAAATATTCCTTCTTGCACAAGTTAAAAAGTACCACTAGCCTGAAGACTTAATTGCTGACAGCAACGCAACAAAAAATCTGAAGGTGACGAAATAGAAAAGTGATCTCAAAAGTAGTGGTACAACTCTATTATGAGAGTTTGTTTCCCAATGATCACAAGTATCAATATTGAAAGGCTGCAAGTTGGACCTCTTGCAATAAATTTAATTCTAGTGAAAGAATTGTATGGCAAGGATGTTAGGAATACATTTGTATTCATTCATTCATTTTGATTTGTAGCAATTGTGATTGTTCCAAGGAGTGTTCTGTCCCACATTCCTGACCATTAGCAATATTTTCTAAGCAACCAGTGATGGATGTCTCTCTATTTAGATTTTTAGCTCTTGGGGATCTTACGTTCATAGAGTACCTTGCCCTACAAAGTCTCTTAGAATACATAATACTAAGAGTATACTGTCTAGCCAGTTCCTGATACGGGAAAAGTTCCATGGCTATACTACCTCTCACCAAAGTCAGGGTAATTAACTTGGATGTATTTCTTACAATCTCCCCCAGTAAGAAATCCCATATATAAAATGTCCATAAGAACTGTATTTTTTGGTTCTAGGTGGAAACACAAAATTAGACATAATCCTTGAACTTGTTTGGTCTATACTGGTCCTATGGACAGTTCCTATGGATTTATGAGGCTGAACTGCAGCTAGTGTCTGTTGAAGCACATACAGTGTGACTCATTCAGAAAGCTCAACCCAAGAACATTTAACTCTGACATCCTACAGAATAGCTCCCTCATGGATTTGAAGGAGTTGCTGCCCATTCTTCACATTCACTCCTTCTCACAACTTTATGACACATAACTTCCAGTGCAAACTTGAATCCAGGCCATAAAGGACATACTAGAACTTCTGACAAATTTTATTCTGTCACCAGTAATTGGAATTTGGTCTTACACAATTTAAATACACAGCTGTGCTCCACTTCTGGTGGATGTGCATAATGTGGCCACGCAGAAGGAAAGCATGTCCTAAGTCCAGTGAGTTGAAGTGACACAGTTTCCTGGACTCCAGGAACTCTCCTGGTCAGAAAGTACTTCCTTCCTTGTTTCAAACACTTGATTGTTTCAGAGGGAATTCAAAACAATAGATTAGAAACTTTCAACCTTTCCTAAGTGTACTGCTGCACAAGGAAATCAGGCCGTGCTCTGGAAAGATGAGATAACATTGGGAGAGTACTCTTTCCGGATATGCAATGGCTTTTGCATCCCTTCTCTAGCACCATCCCATGAATCAGCTACATATAAGTAATAATTCATGCTACAAGATGTCAAATGCAGTTCAACTACTGTTTGGAATAAGATGTGCATGGCGGCAAAAGGCATGAGCTAACTACGTTCTCAGCTACTTTGATAAGGCATGGCAAGGAAGAAAACATCAGAAGCTTCTTAATCTGAGTCTCTACTTTTAAGGACAGGTAGGAAGAAAGGATGACAATTGCCTCTTTTTAGTACCTCATTGTTTAAATCTCTAAAAAGGAGGAAGAATATGCTACTACTGCTGCAGTTAGAAATCTATCCCCTTCCCACCATAACTTAGTTTTACACAACCAGCAAAGATGTTCACAAGGACTGGAAATAGATCAGGCTCATCAGCTGAAAAGCAATCACTTTAATTATACACTTTTTCCCAACACAATTCCTTTCATCTAAATACATTATAGAATGCTTTGTAATGACAGATGAAAGATTTAACATTTATAATAATCATGTAATTACAGTTATTTACCAGCTGCAATTTGAATAAGGAAAGGCAATGGACATGGAAATTCATTTTTCTGCAGCATTAGTGTGCCTAAGTATCCTAAAGTAACTGAAAAACATCAGAAACAGAACCAATGGCAAGAGTCATTCTCTCAGACCCTGTAGTCAAAGCTCTTACATGATATTACACTTTCCTAATTCTCTTTTCTTATCAATGTAGAGCTACAAAAAGTCTGAGGATAAAATTATCATAAAAAACCAAGAACTCACATTATTTTTAGAGGCAAACAGGAAACACACTTCCCTGTCAAGCTGGGTCAAAGGAAGGGGAATGATTGAGTTGAATACTCTGCACTCACCGTTCCTACCAAAGGGTAGATGAATCCAGCTCCAATACTGGCTCGCACATCACTAATTGGCAAAATGAAACCAGTGGGAACACCCTTCCTCTCAGGCTGATGGGAGAGGGATAGGTGAGTTTTTGCCATACAAATGGGAAGATTTCCAAATCCCTAACAAGAAAGGGAAAGAAAATAAAATAAAAAGGTTTTTAAGATTACAGTAAAGACAGAATATATTTTCACTTTGTTATGAGTATCTTCTAGAAATACTAAAATCCATATAGCAATAGTTAATCTCAGTTTCTTAACAAGCTAGTATTTCAGAAATAAACAGAATACTGTATTTCACATGCTATTCTCTCTCAGCTCAGGCCTTTATCTCCAGAGACTTGGCTGTAGTGTTATCCAGCTTCTAGTGTGGGTTCTCAATCTAGAGTTAGGTGCAAAAGTTGCCTATACAACGGCTGGAGTGTGCTATTTTCAGAAAGGGCACGCAGCAGGTACCACACTGAACAAGAAACCTACACCAACTCAACAGAACTCCAGTACGGCACTTCCTTCTGGGCTCTAATGACCTAGTTAGATACCTACCTGAGACCAGGATTCATAGTCCAAAACTCTCTAAGGGTACTAATGTCTTCTTGCAGCTAAACACAAAGGGTTCATGATGCTTTGCTTTGTTCTTAAACAAGACAAAAACTTCATGAGGTGATGGCACCCACTTCACTAATGACAGTGCAGTAGTTACTCAAAGAGTGAGAGAAAATCAGGGAAAAGGCCCTCAGTAGCCTCCTCTCCCCCCATTTGTCTCCCAGGCTATCGATTAACCTTGAGTCTGGCACCTTCCACTCTTCTGTTCAATTCCTTGACAAACAGGGATGCAATTCACAAGGCCAGGAGGAGAGCTGGCACTGCAGGGAATTGCCTCTGCAGCCCAGCGCTGACGACAATCCTTTAATGACATTGTGAAAGTATTTCCTAATACTACTAACGTTTAGACTAAAAATGGTTTAGGGAATCACAGCAGGAAAAGACAAAGACATGGATTACTTCGCTTCAAGTACAGTAAGTAAGCTTCCATCTAGAAAATCAAATTAATTCTCAGGAGATTTGCATTAGAGAGAAGACAGCTATAGTTCTGCCTGCCTGAGCAGGCTGCTGAAGTATACTCAGGAATTTTTCCATGACACATTGTCCATAGTTTCTATTTTTTGACAGAAAGGCTCCAGCCATGTTTATGCGCAGAAGCTGTTCCATTACAGAAAATACATTCACATCTCCACATGGTTTCAAAACTGTTACAAAGCCCACTCCCACATGCTTTAGGAAAAGTGATCTATCTCACCTTCTAGCATTTATAATGGCTTGAAAGTAGTATGAACAGAAGGAAAACAAAAGATTTTACAAGTATTGGGAGCTTTGTTATTAACATGCATAGCTGTGTTAATTTTGTGTTGCAGACATTTTTTGTGGGTACAAATGAACACTCATATGCTAAAATCAGGTAATTTCACCAGCTGCTACTTCTGCAGATGTGCAGTTGTCACATTTAAGGCAGTAATCCAAAATTACCACTCTGCATAGAAGGTACAGAGTTTCATCCATAGTCTCAGAATGATTCCAAACACCATACATATCTTACGGGAGATAGCTTTCAAGGTTAAAACCATTCTGTTCTACCTAATCCAATCTAAAGCAATCCATACTGACCTCCACGGTTTAGCACAATAGGTAATCTCATGCCGTTCAGCAAAGCTTGACTAAACACTTCAATCTGAGAACCTTTTACACCCTGAGGTTTCCGAACACTCATCCAGCAGGTACCTGACTGCGTAATTCACTGGTGCTCTTACCTGCCGGGTGTAACGATCAACTTGTGACTGAGCAGCAGGAGACAACTCTATATCCTGAGCTCCATACACCTTCTGAGCAATGATTCTTATTTTTTCAACAATAGGAAGCTGCAGAGACAAGGAAACAATACAAGGATGAGCATTAGCCAAAAGACACTAGGATCTTGTTTTCTGAGTGAGAAATCTGAATCTCTCATTTAGCTTAATCCTTGTTAAACAGGCTTGCTAAAGCATGAAACCGAGTAAAGGGCACTGCTGATGGATATGGTATTCAGCTACAGGTACATGAATTACAAGCATGATTTAAGCTATTCCATCATTTAGGAGCTGCACAATTTGTGCATTACAAAGTTGACAACGTGCTTACACTCTTGCCTAAAGTGGGGGAAGAAAATTACTGCCATGTAGTTTTAAGAATTAAGAGTTAATGCACACTGCAGATACAAGGAAGCAACCTCCACTGGGTTAACAGGGATCACTAGACAAATAAATTTCATTTCACAATAAAGATCACCTATATAATGAGTGGACAAGGCAAGGTAGCAGGCAGCCAGGGAAGGTTCCTCTGAGAAGGAAGGAATTGTAGCAGAAAATTCCTGACTGAGCGCTGCTCCTCTGATTGTTTTTTTTTTTTTTTTTAAATTCTCACCTCCCACCCTTCGTAACATACCTATTTTGAATTGTAGCATTGATGCTGTAAAGCAATTTGGACACTTAAAAAAAAAAAAAAGAATATGAAAGCATTCTAGGATACGCTTTGAAATCTCAAGTCACTAAGTTCAACCCCAGCCTCCATCACAGAAATCACAGAAATCACAGAAACACTAGGTTGGAAAGGACCTTCAAGATCATCAAGTCCAACCATTAATCCAGCGCCACCATGTCCCCTAGACCATGTCCTGAAGCGCCACATCCACACGTTTCTTGAACACTTCCAGTGATGGTGACTCCACCAGCTCCCTGGGCAGCCTGTTCCAATGCCTGACCACCCTCTCAGTGAAGAAATTTTTCCTAATATCCAATCTAAACCTCCCCTGGCGCAACTTGAAGCCATTTCCTCTTGTCCTATCACTAGTTACTTGGGAGAAGAGGCCAACACCCTCGTCGCCACAACCCCCTTTCAGGTAGTTGTAGAGAGCGATAAGGTCTCCCCTCAGCCTCCTCTTCTCCAGACTGAACAACCCCAGTTCCCTCAGCCACTCCTCATAAGACCTGTGCTCCAGCCCCCTCACCAGCTTCGTTGCCCTTCTCTGGACACGCTCCAGCACTCCATGAGTATCCACATCATATTATTCAGCTCAAACTGAACGCTTGTTCTGCCTTTATGGCTCCTATTGGAAGGCAGATGCAGACTCTCACATTCAGTCTGTTAGAAATCCTTTCACAGATCTTCAGCAGACAGTTTTTTGTGGTCAGATCAGGCATATACTTTTTGTGTCATCATTTCTGTTTATTTAGAGTAAACAACTCTCTCATCTTTCTCTTGCCTTTTGTTTTGAATGACCTTGGAGACAGCAACTGTGACCCCTATACCTGTTAAACAAGTCAACATCTTTGATTTCTTTCAACAGGAACAGAATGATGGAGGAAAGATCATACCACCAGTTCAGCTACTTCAGTGCTGACCACAGATGGCCAGAGATGTGTGCAATGCTCCAGGGAACATCCCACCAGTACTTTGTACGCTAATATATTTAATTAACAACACATATGGAAGAAGTGTTGAACAAAATCTAACGAGATACCACTTGGGGAAGAAGACTTGATAATCTCAAGCAATATAAAAAGCACCAGAACACAAAATAGAAGTATTTCATTTTATTCCAACAAAGGCAAGAAATTGGTTTGTGAAAAATAAACTCTACCTGGTGCATTTACAGGAAGTTCCACAGTTAATCACATTTTTGCAATGCCTGTCTATAAGTAATCGTTTTTCTACAAAGATACATCGGTTGAAGGGTTTGTGTCAGACTGACCTTTTTTGTATTATGATTGAATTTTAGAAAAATTAAAGCAGTCTGCCTTTACATTAATAAAGAACTCCAGTGACAGAGACATCACAAGAAAAGAAGCTTGCCAGACTTTCAAGTAGCTTAAATGTAAGGCAGTTAAAAGCTACTAAGGCTAAAATAAAATCCCACCTCAGATATGAAATTTCAAAGTGAGGTTTAAAGGTTTTCCACAAGACACTTTCTGAACATGCTGACTATATAATTAGTGCACCTTAATTGAGTGGAATAAAGTCACATTCCCGACTTCAGGCTTTCTACAGGAATCCAAGCAGTGGAAAAAAAAAAAAAAAAAAAAATTCTAATGAGGATTGGAGATAACACATTGCAAATATCTTGGACATAATTGCTGGCAGCATTAAGCTGAATGGGATACTTAGTGACATGGATAGCTGTCACAAGATGAAACTTCTTTCAGGTTGATTATTAAGTATGTTCATAATCATGGCAGTTTTGAACACAGTGGAAGAAATGCAAAACGTGTCTGTTAACTTGCCTTTTGGGTGCTCTTTGCTTGCAAACAAGGACTAATAGCAACAGCAAAAGCAAAGCAAAAGGAATTCCACTCCCCGTTGTCAGTAGGCCAGCATCAAAACTAACAGCTTTCTGCTTAAACCTCCATAAATTCATTGAGATAGAGACATTCATTTAGATTCAACTTGCATTTGTGTCAAAATTTTTGACTAACTTGACAGCAGCATAATTACTATGCCCACAGCCCCCTTCCAGTGACCACAGCTGTAGCGTCCAAATGAAACGTGGCAGGGCTCTGGCTAACAGCAGAGCAGACTGCTTTCATGACAGTGGTGGCATTCTGCTCCTCCTGGGACGTGTACAATACCTTGCATGGCTGAGCCTGAGCTGGACAGTCAAGCTGTATCCCTACGGATTTACGTTTAGTTTTTTTTAACCAGAATTTCAGATACTTTTCAGGCCAGTACCAACACCATTTGCAAATGTAACCTCAAAAGAATCACCAGTGGGGAAGCAGTTGCAGGAGTGTGAATGGCAACAAAAGTGGTCTTCTGAGACCATCACATGTTTTTGCAAGGCATGTGCATACAAACGGGTGAGGCAATGTGCATGGTGTCAGAGGAGAGTTTGAGGCTATTTAATCTCACAACACAGGCAGACAAGTCCTGGCCGAGCCCAGTTCAGATAGAAACCAGCAGGGAGGACAGATGCTCTATACACATTAACACAGCCCCTGCATGTGCACACTGTCAGACATGCTTCCTTCCTGAAGTTTCAGGAGTAGGGAAAGGAGTACACTACATCATGCTAAGGATCCACCTGTTTCCTACTATTAAATGGGCTTTTAAGGGATTATCTATTTAGAATCACAGTGTAACAGTTTTCAAGTGAAAAAGTTTCCTGTGTTTCAGTTATCAAGTAATACTGCTGGGAAATCTCATTTTAACTTAACTTAAAGAAATATTTTCCAAAGAAAAGCCATCTTGTATTTTACATGAGAAATACAAATTAATTTTGTTCCATTTTATTTGATTTTCATATGATGAAAATAACATAATGGTATTTATCAGAAAAGAAGCTCTAGTAATTCAAGAGACGTTTTACACATTTACCATAGCAAAAGCCTGGATGTTTACAAGACATTTGTAGGAGCAGTCCTAACTTTTTCTTATCTGGTCTTTAAGAGCAAGTTTAGCTTCAGGTTTTCAACAAAACTGTTGATTACTTCACTATGGAAATACTCTCACTGAGGGGCACAGGGATCCACCATACATAGTAACATATGGAAAAGTGCTTAGCTGAATTCAAAGGGACTGAAAAATAGAGACATATTGCACCAAGTGTCTAAATCATTAAGGGATTTTAGTTAGATTTTTGCTCCATCCAATAGCAGACTCTTCTAAAAACCCTTGTGAGCTACCTATTTGTACCTTAAACACCTTGGTCAAATACCTGCCAGCAGAAGCCACATATCCCAGGCACTTAGGAAAATTAAGTTGCTTCATATCTCTCACGTTTTTTGTCTGAGAATCTTCTACAATGGCCTAGGATATTCCTGTTCTTCATTCCCACTCACTAACTACAAAGTGGCACCCTCAGCTGCGCCAATGCAACGGTTTGCAGACCCTCAGTAAAACAGTCTCAGTGAAAGGAGGATGAAAAATCCTGTCCTCATGGTGTGTGTCGATGCACCCTTGTGAACAGCAGCTCGGTTCTACAGCCCCTCTGCTATCTGGACAGCTATGGTGATAATGATATTTATAAAATGTGCAGACAATGAAAGCATGAAAAGCACAAAAGATTTAGGATCAGTAAAAAAAGGTGCTCCTCTTCCCATTTCCCTTATGTAAGATTTTGAATGTTTCACAACTAAGTACATTTAAGCAGACAACAGGTGACAGACACACAGTAGACAGTATGGACAAAACCTGACTTTTATAGATATGCAACTACATATTAAGACTAATGCTGAAGGATTATGGCAGCTTCGAGTAATTCATTCCAAATTCCTATTTAGCTCCTTGAGAAAATGATAGCATGAAATACTCGATATAAATTTATACTGAACATGAGAAGGTGCTACAGGGCCACACAGTATGAATATCTTCTGACAGTTAAGTAGCTTTGGTGTTTCTCTGAGAAACAACCAATCTCCCCAGCCCTACCAGAGACAATGTGCATTTCTGAAATCTCAGACATTCAGAACTACCAAAGGCATATGCTTCTTCTGAGGCAAGCACAAACACATGTGCTTGTTGAGGCTGCCAAGCACCCACACGGTAAACAGGATTATCTCCTTGGCTAAACCATAACTAGCGATACGGCAAAAGTGTGCAAACTCCTTTCACAAAACCAGTATCTTTGTAGCTGTACATTTCATTACTTGATAGAGAATAATTAAACCAGGAAATCAGCACTGATAAAGAAGAGAGCCTGTCATTCCCAAGACAGAATTGATTATCCAAGATGAAATCACAGCAGTGCTGTCACCCAACCATACTGCTACTTCCAGGCCATACCCCTTGCAAGACGTGATGTTAGCATGCATTTGTGCTGTTTATTACACAATCTTCCGTCCAATACTATCAACAGCAAGGCTTTTAGCAAAATGTAATTTAATAGTGT